CTTAATCTCAATTAGGAGGGGAGAAGTGAATTTTTAATTACCGGGAGTCACTGTGCGCCGCAAAACAATTATTTTTCTTACTGCGCTGTTATTTCCATGACAGTTTCTTCCATTTTTCACAGAGATTAAGGGATGAAAGAGGGTCAGTTGGTGGGGAATTTAATTCTCCATCGAACTACTCTTTTTTCATCCCTTAATCTCAATTAGGAGGGGAGAAGTTAATTTTTAATTCGCGAGCGTATGGTGAAAAGTCACTGTGCGCCGAGAAGAAAATTATTTTTGTCACTGGCCCATGACTTTGTCGTAGTTTGTATTTTTTTGTTACAGAGATTAAGGGATGCAACGGGGATCGATTGATGGGGAATTTAATTCTCCGTCACACCCTCTGTGTTTCATTCCTTAATATTAATTAGCCAGCAAATGAGTCACCTGAAAAACATTAAGAACATGCTGAGGGCGAGGAGGACAGAGGTTCCCCTCCGAAACTATCCCTGTGACAGCGGGACTGCTACTGCCGAGTTACCCGCACAGGCAGTTCGCCCAGCCGTCAGATTCGACCGTGGCGGCATCCCTCCGTTGGGGTCGAACTACTTTTGGCTTGGGGTCAGTCCAACCCCGAGATCTGAGCCTCTACTTTAGTCAATCCTCTTTGGCCTCAACCATGAACAATAGAGGTAAGGAGGCCGAACTGTAGCGGTCAGATGTTCTGACTGTGGGACACGGAGGGAGTACAAGTTAGTAATTCCTCTTATGGCCATAGGGCAGCGCTTTCATCTACCATGTATCACACGTACACAACCGATGTTTGATGCATTAGTGGCTTTGTTTACTCTTCAAAGTTGACGTTAATATTGTTGGATTTCGTTCGTTATAATCGAATTCCATTATTTATAATCGAATGACTGGAGGTAATTAGTGAGAAAAAAAAATGAGGCGGGTGTGAGCATTTCCTGGGTGTAAATTGAGAACAATAAATCTACAATAAATAAATAGAATAAATAAATGCAATGAATCTACATGAAACATAATAAAAATTCATTGTTGACACCATGCTCCTTTTGAACGTATTTCATTTGACAATTGTTACATTAATTATTTCAAGGACAAAGATTTTCGTACAACTGGTACAGAATTCGTTTGACAACATTTTAATGTTAATTTATGAACATTTCATCCAAAAATTGTTGATTCTAGATTCAATAATTTCACTCCATTCTAGAGATTAATGATGCCCGATACATTCTCCACTGATTGAACTTTATCAAATATTATCCATGGGACTGGCTTATTTTTATACATGACACCGACTTCTAAATTTTCTTTAATCACAATTCTCATATACGCTTGATAAGTTCCCAATACTTCTACAAAAAAAAATGTAATGTTCGTGTCTCACATCAGCCCAGTTACACGGTTTTTCCACAGCTTTAATATTATTGTATAAATCGCGAAAAGTGAATTTTAGAGGAGTGGAATCATACATTTTTTATTTTATCGGATTCTGAGACATGTTGATTAATTGAGTACCTATAGTTTCATAAATAAATGAATAACTTATCTATACAATTAATAAGTCCGATTATCAGAGAATTTTATCTACAATTCGTACGTCTTATTCACAATTTTAACATTATATTAATAACTGGGATTTAAAAGTAATAATTATCGTCATTACATGAATATGCCTATAATTCATACGTCTTTTTTTTTACAACTGAGTGTGTCTATCCACAAGGGCAATTTAAAATTAATAGTTGATATGATTGGAGGGTTATATTTACAATTCATACGTCGCATTAATATTCCGGCTACTGTTTCATAGTTGCAAAACAGTATTTGCAAATTATATAGCCTGATTTTCACTTCGCCTTCAACTCATCTTTAGAGAAGGTTTATGTAAAAAATTATTTATTCCGTAACCCATTGTAAATGTGATGTGTCCAGATGATCACTGCACTTGCCAATGGCTGCGATAACTGTAAGGGAGAAATAATTGAGAACGATACAATGGAGAATATTTCTATTTATCATGAAATTTGTAAAAATCAGCGAATTTTGTTTGCTTGAATAGAAAAAACGGAATAACAGTCGTTTACTAACCTCCATTCATAGGTTGTCAACTGGATTTACTCTTCTTCATTATTCCCAAACACATTTCTCACTTCGTTAGATCACATTTCTCGAAATATCACAGTACTATGAACGTACGATTACGGATATAAATCAATTTATTAATTCAACAAAATTCACTCTGTTCATTACATTAATTGTTTAGGCCCACTTTGCTATATTTTACCCCTCCCGTCGTCGTGCAACTGGGCGATTGAAATGCCACCTACAGCACTTGAGAAGCCCGGATTGTGGTTCCATGTGCCATGCACGGAGTTCGGCCTCCTTACCTCTATTCTTCATGGCCTCAAACGTCCTACACTAAAATTCCCAGAGTGGGAGCGATCTCCGAAAACAAAAATCACTAGTAGTAGGAATGTGATGTCTTAACGTTGAAATTTATAGATGGCGCTATTAATCGGCCATAATAGTCCGCGA